AGCAGCTTCGTGCAGGAAGTAATAAAGACGGGGTTGAGTAAGCATTCTGAAGAAAAAATTCGTTTGCTTTACATCAACATGAATTTACTAGCGGTCTATCTTATTTTACTAGCCTGCCCATTCCCAGGGATTCGTTTGTAAGTGGATGCAGTCTACACGGACTGTGGAAGAACTTTTGGAAACGTCCCACACAGATGGCTTTTGTTTCACTTACGTCAAGTTGTGTGGCTGGGAGCCTACTCAATCAGCTGGTCGACTTTCTCACAAGCATATCTCATCTTACTTGTTTTGGTAATGTTAATTCAGAGTAGGCAGTAGTTTACATTTGGTTTCCGCCGGGGAGCGTTCTGGGTCTCATTTTGTAATTAATAAATGTTATTGTCAGCCTGAGTTGTCTGAACTGCGGGAGGTTAGTGTTTGTTGATGGTCTCAAGCTGTGGAAATCAATACAACCAGCGGTGCTACATTTTCAAAATATGTTAACTCGATTGCACCAGTGGTGGGATGGATAATTCCGGAGACTCAAGTCAAACCAACGCCTAACTACTGGACTGTGACCTAGCAACAGGGGAATGGCGGGACTTAATGATCACTAGTTCATCGGAGGTCATCAACTCAGATCAGTTAACGAGCTAAGAGACCTCCGTGTTTGGGTGAGCCCACTTCCGAACTATCGTTTTACTGTGCTAAGAGGTCGAGGAAATCCATAGATATTCTAGACGCCCTCAGTAGATCCTTCCTTGGTTTTGATGACAAGCCATTTGTTCGAGTGCTTAGAATGTTTGTTCGCCCAATGGTAGGATGTTGAGTTCAGGCTTGGCGTCCCTGGATAAAACAGTATAGAATTCTTCTGGTGCAACCAAAATAGTCAAACTTGTCTACTGTATGAGAGACGACGAGGAGAGTTTAAAGGTTTACTCCTATCTTTTAGACAATGCAGAGAGTACCCCATCATCCCTTCTAAGGTAATCAGAACGATCGATTATGTCCTTCAATTTGGTGAAAATTTGAACTGGCGCTTGTGACAGATCGTCGGGGTCGCGAATACAAACTGATAACAGAGTACTTCAAACTTGAAGTGCGTGCCAGCCTCCCATCTTAGCGGGTGGTTGAAGAATGAAACACACTGCCAAGTTTGATTATGCAGGCGAAAAAGTGGGGACGTTTAAAGGCAGACTTGATAAATATTTACTTGATGACCATTTACTCACTCGACACCATTGAATGGCATAGTGTACCGTATTCGCTATGTGAATATTTGTCTGATTTTCATCCCTTCTTCGGCAAATAGAGTTTTACACAGGTCTGTTTATCTTCCATCATACACTGAATCATGCTAATTATAAATTACAGTCCCTTTTATGACTTGTTTTAGTTATAACAACCTAATCGGCATTAAATGTTTAAGTGAGGTCCTCGTATGCAAATTAGAGCTCCAACATAGGCGATGACCTTCAAGGTATCTTGCAAGGTCCTATTTTTCTCGCTTTGCATTAAGGATATTTCGCAGGCAGTTAAGAATGCTCAGTCCTCCATTTATGTTAGCAAACTGAACTATTTATTTTCGTTCTTTAAAGCCATGGCCCAAAATTGTCTGAGACATATTCTTTCAGATCTTGATCGAGGTCAACATGGCCAATTGAGTTTTCCACCATTAAATGACGCCAAATTTTTTAGCCCTGAATAACCTCCAAATTCAGGATTTTATACGATACCTGTATGATTGAATGCGTCCGATACAAAGGGCTAGGGTTTAGGATGCAGTGATCATTTAGATCTCTCCCCGAATGCACACAGAATTATGGCCAACAAAGATCGTATTTGTGGATTTTGGGTCTATATACATTTCTGATTTTTTTCTCATTGCATTTTCCTGTACACAATAACTTTTCTGCACTGTTGTTTAAGTATGCCAAAATACACACGAAACCGGTTTCGGCTTGAAAGAAAAATTCCAGAGAAGGTGCAGAGCGTATTGAGATTCCCTGCTCCCAATAGACATTCCCAGTGCGGCGTTTCGTTAGCGTCATCATTTACTAGGGTCGTTTTATTCCCAACTGTGCGGCGACACTGGTCCCCTTGACTGACCTTTTGAAGCCGAAGACATAGGATAACGAACTTTCGCCGGCAGCCCGCACAACTTTTGAAACATCCAAGAAAGCTCTCGCTTATGCCACCATGCTGCACCATCTCAGCTCCGCCACCCATGCACAGTCATTTGGTCAATGAGGCTTCCAAAAGTGCTGTCGGCGTAGTTTTGCGTCAACAGATGAATAACCAGTTACAGCCATTGGCTTTCTTTTCACATAGGCTACAACCGGCGCAGACTCGCTACAGTACTCTTTCTCGCGAGTTTCTTGCCATCTACCTGGCAATTCGTCACTTTCGACACCTTTTAGAGGGCAGAGATTTTGAGGTTCACACCGACCACTTACGCCCTCAAGACAAAGCCAGATCGTTTTTCATCCAGAGGAGTTCGTCATTTAGACTATATTTCGCAGTACAGACATCCGTTACGTCCAAGGCAGCGGCAGTGTCGTTGCTGACGCATTATCTGGACCGAACATAAACACCCTGACCTCTAAATTCGACCTGGCGAAGATTGCAGACCTCCGGACAGCAGATAAATCCATCGCCGACCTGCGTACGTCTCTTACTTTGCAACTTCAAGATGCACCACTTCCTGCGTCACCAGGTATGATGTCATGCGACTAGTCGACAAGGGCTCCTTAACCTGCTGTTCCACTATCCTACCGTAAGGGAGTGTTGGACCATTTTCATTCCCTGTCGAACCCCTACATCCGCGCTGGTCGTTAGCCGATCGCCGCTCGTTTTATCTATCCGAAAACGAATTCTGACACTGGTTTTTGGATAAAGCAGTGTTGAGCCTGCCAGATGAACAAAGTCTATCGTCCATTTTCCCCTCTAAGTAGCTTTGCGGCCCCGGACGTTCGATTCCACTACGTTATCTTGGGCTGAGTTGGACCGTTCCCCTTCACGCGGGTACACGCATATTCTTACAGCGGTCGATCGTTTCCCACGATGGTCCATTGCTACTCCTATCTTGGATACCTCAGCAGAAAATATTTTCATGATTTTCCTAACCCATTGGATTTCAACTTTTGGTGTGCCAGCCACCACTATTACTGACCGAGGGAGCCACTTCCAATCCGGTCACATTCGCGAGTTCATTAGACTGCTTGGGTGTGCATACATCACAGCCACATCATATCACCCTGCCTACCAATGGCCTTGTAGAGCGTCTACAAGGTCAACTCAAGTCCGCACTGATTTAGCATTATAAACCAGTCTGTTGGGGGTAACAATCTCCCTCTTGTCGTTTTAGGCATCTGATCTTCCGTAAAGTAGAACATCCAGTTGACTGCTGCACACGTCTCTGTCTATGCGGTTAACTTGTATAGACTTCCGCTATGAACGCCTGCATGCACAATACCTTCCCGCGGCAGTTGACGTAACGCATGGCTCAACTGCGTTCAACTCCCGCTCGTCCGACATCCAAACGAGTGTTTGTGCATGAGGCTCCTTAATCTGTTCCACCCGGTTCCGTCCGGCATGACGCAGTTCACAGGCGCCTTTGTTCCCTTTTAAATGGCCCATATAATGTCCTTCAGCGGATGGACAAGTATTACGTCATTGCGAGTGCTGACAAATGTGAAAAGATCACCATAAACAGACTTAAAGCAGCCTATACTGAGCGCATTGCGCCGCCCGCGGTGTCATCTAATTCCTTTGCACCGTCTCCGCCCGATCCACCCGTTTCGGTCCCTCTACCCAACCAACACACCCGACCACCCCGCCCACCCATATTAATCACCATTCTTTACCACGCACTTTATCTCGTTCCGGTAGGCAAATCCAGTTTTCTGCAAAGCTCATGGACTTTGTGCTGTAACCCTTTGCACATTTCATCGAGCGTTTTTTGTTCAACAAACACTAGTGGAGAACTGCGTAGGTCTGTGTAAACTTCCGATTTTTATTATCCTTGCATCCTTTTGTACACCTGTACAGGATGCCAATATACACGTACAACCGGTTTCGGCAACATCCTTCCCGCCGTTCACTGCCTCTATACGGAAATTCTGGTTTAATCAAAAAATAATGCAATTTAACCGGTTTTCGTCCAGCCCCACAGGAGGAGACGGGTGAGCTTTTCCATAAGTTTCCTGGTTACGACAATGATCTGGACGAGATAGCAGCTTGCAAATGAATACGTAGATGCTTTCAGAGGTAGGGATGTTTTTGATTTTCATTCAGAATTTTGTGATACTGACTGCTAAATAGCTGCGCATGCGTCAGTCAGCATACGGGGACATAGTTTCCAGGTGCAAGCTTTCGGTTGCAGAAATGTATATCCTTATTAACTGAGCTGTTGAGGTGTGAGATAATCTCGCAATTTTTGAGTAGCGACAGAACTGTTTAGGAATGCAAAAAGGACCATTTGATTTCTTAATGCATGTGGATGTAAAGGAGGTATATTTTTAGACGAACTTCAACTGCATTGAAATGTGTGCTTTCAGAAAATATCAGATTATATGTTAAGTATATCGAAAGGCAGACCCTATACTTACTTCGAATGAACATTCGAAATTTGCCCCCAGTCTTCTGCCTACTAATGGCATATGAGATCTTATTTTCCCGATAAGTAGCCTTGCGAAAGTTCGCACAAACCATTGGCAATAGTCCTTTGAGTATCTAAAGACTAATTATGTTGTGCTTTCATAAAGTTCATGCGGGATCCACGCTGAGCATCCAGACAAATGACGACTACTGCAATCAGAAAGTTTTATACTACTAGGTAGACTACTCGTTAAAACACCTCAGGCAGAATATTGCTAAATATTTTGGAGAAGTCAAAGGAAGGAAAAACCCGAATGACTGAACGCCGTCAAATGTTTAAAGAAAGCTGTCGAAACTATGACGTGAGTTTTAATAAGCTGAAATCCAGACAGCAAAGGTAATCAGAAGGTTGCCGGCCTATCATGTCCAAGCGGCCCCGGCGAAGTCGGACACCACGAGAACCGAACGAGGAAGAGAAGAATATTATTATTTCAGTCAGACATTGTGCTCGAGAATTGGATGATATTCTTCAAGGAGCACGTCGTAAAGCCGAGTCAAATGCAAGGGTGTTTGCAGAGTCCGCTGCGTCAACCTTATTTCGCGGCCTCGAATCCTATGCGGACATGTATGAAAAGTTGAAGCTAAAATCCAGGGAGGCACTTAACCGCCTCTTCCAACGTGCACACGACTTAGACGACGTGTTAGATGCGCAGGACGCAATTGAGGAAACTGAAGGCTGTTGGCGCAACTTCCTTTCAAACGTTGACAGGGAAATTGAACAGTCCACTCCTGTCGACGATAAGACGAAGACACATGAACCTAAAGATTTGGGAGATTACATAGACCTCGCCCATCCTGTCCTTGTTGACTGCCAATCAAATAACGTGTGCACACTCGAGACCATTTTATCCAACCATCCCAGTCTTCTTCTGATATTTCAACCTGCCTATCTCCCTGACACCGCTGTTCGGTGGCGTTTTTCAGAAATATCGAAAATTGCGGTAAGTTATACCCTCGAAGAAGAGTATAAGTGCCACTTATTCTTCTTTCTTTAGCTTACATGAGACAACATTGTAAGGCGTTGGCATTTTGCTTGAAAAGAAACTAAGGTGAACCAACTTTAGTCGTTTTTATTTTAATTGTATTGTAACTTTAAAAACGCCTGGCAGTTGGCGCGTGTCATTATTGGTTATCTGTTTATTTTGCTGTCATTTGTTTTTCTGCCGAAATTCCTTCTGAGGCTTGACTCTAACCACAGTTCAGTGGTCACAATGCGGATCTAAACTGGTAGTTTGCACTGAACGTGGCCCATTATCAAACATTATAGAGGAGAGAAAATTCTGGCGAGATATGCATCAAAAAGTGAAGTTGACCACTTGGAACCCAGTTTGCAACAGGCCGATGAGTTAATGGCAATCTCAGTCCTACAGGCGCGAATATGGGTTAATGGTGCTGAGTTTGTTGGAATCCTCACACCTAGCACTCGGTTACTGATTTGGATTATGCACGCTTTAAGGAAGTTGATTTGGCCTTTGCATTCCAGAGTGCGAGGCCTCTTGAACCACTCACAGGGTAAGCTCAATTTCCGGCGAATCTGATGTCCACGCCCCAGTGGTAGTGAGAATGCGCTTCCCAGGTGGGATGCCAAAAGAAAAACAGTGTTGGCTGGGAGGAGTTTATGCTTGTTCTGACGTGTTGTCATGGACTTCCCCCGGCTGCACCCCCACGTTGAAATAAACGAAAGTCCAGTGGCCCGTTTGCACCACTGCCCTGTGACTTTCGAATAAGGCAAAAGCAATACCCGTTATAACCGCGGCCAACATATATCGCCTAGTTAAACCCTTTAATATTGCCGCTGCTACCCTTCCATTGTGGATTTTAAGTGTGCGCCTGCCGGGACCTATTGTGTCTCTTCGCGCCGACTAATACTATTCTACCGAAACTTGCACTACTCGTCCGGGCCTACTGCCATAGAAGAATAGGTTAACAGGGCTTGGTAAAAAAGGGACTAGTTCGGCATTATTATCGACATCCATTAGATCCTGCCGTTTCACCGCCACCGTCTAATGTGCCACCGTGCACTATTTAGCACGCCTTTATTTGACAGATTGCTCCGGCATCACTAGACGTCGTGGTCTAGGCATTCCCAGTCTGCACGTTGCGTTGCTGACGTACTCCTTGGCTGTGTTGCATGCTTCGTCTCACATAATGGCATTCTCCGCTAATAATTCCCAGAGGCCACTACTTGATCAAGGTAGACGGCAAAGTTCCCCGATTTTTTTTGTTTGGCTCTCTGGGAATTGGGCCAAATAAAGTTATGGACTGCCCTAAAATCTTCTGTACGCGGTTTTCACTTGCCTATTCCATTAACATAGCCGTGTCCCGTACCGACATTAGGGCAAATTTGTCCATGACGTTATTTCTCCTAATCCTGTTGTAGCTTTCCATCACGTCAACATTTGTAGAGTGACGATCTGCAAGACACCGGTTCAAGCAAATAGATTAGTATGCCCGGCTAAGGGAGATATAAGACACACCAATGCCTGGATGTACTTTTATTTTAAAAGGTCGATTCCTAAGCTTCTCTGTTTTGCTTCTCGGTTCACCTTTATAGGCCGATTTTCACAATTTCAACGTGGGCTTCGCTGTAATAACTTGGGGTCCTGAGGAAGTAGTTCGGGCCTGGAGCAAGCACCTCGCGAAACATATCAGCAAACCAATTCTATGGGACCGTGAACAGTTTTTCTGCTCTCTTCTGGACTTCAACTACGGCTGTTCCGCGGTAAGGAACCTATTACAAGCTATACTTTTTTCCCGTTTCAACTTTTGGATAGGGGATGCGCGCATTATTTTTGCTCTACGTTACTTACAGTAGGGAGATGCTGACTAAAATCTCTTAATATGTTTTGAAGTTGAGGACATGACTTACTCTAAGTTGGAGTCTCTAAGAAACCTAGAATATACTACCCAATTCATTTATACATATTTGCATTCTAAATTTCAACCGAAATTCGTTCTGGTTATCTGTGTGAATTGTGGTCGGAAGAAGAAAACTTAAATGGATGTTTCTAGCTCTATTTTGCAAAAAGTGGTTCTTGGTTCTTCAACGTTTAGCAGGAACCTGCGTCATTTCGAAATATACTTTACGAGAGTACGGAATATCTTGATGTTAAGTAGTAAGTAGTTCGCAGCCACTTCTTCACACGAAAATGGTTTCATACCTCTTTTACAGTACCTATGAAAAGACCTGACGTTTTTAAGGTATTGAACTCCATCTGGATCATGTTCGCAGTTTGCAAGCAGCACCAGTCAACCTAAGGATATTAGGTCACTAATATTCATGTGAAAGCCTCGTAATTACAGTTTTTTAAAAGAACGTAAATCGCCTCCCTCTCGAGGAACCGCGCTTCCCTGAGACCTCCACGACCTCTTCTAAAATTTACGTTTGGTAGCAGCTTTCAGTGCGGTTCCCAGGTGGAAGCCCCATCTTTCTGTTACTGAAGTGGAGAATGCACTCAGTCTACATAGTAATCAGTTGGAGTGATTCTAAACCAAGTCTTTTGTAACTCAACTTTTTGTGCTATATGATGAGTAGTGTTACAATCGAAGGCACTTCAGTGTTTTGTGAACTTCGGCGTTCACACGGAGCTGCGAAGTTGAATTCCCCCCAGCCGACGGTCAGAGCTACTCGCACAAACCGACCTCTTATTCTAATACAAATTTTCGAAATCTTTATGACAGGATGCCCGTTTTGACTTATTCAGCTTCATTACGTCATAAGCCATAAAAACCACCCAATCATCACTATCCTGTCATCCGTACATACTCAAACTTATCGACCCATTCCTCGTCTCAATTTTTCTGCCTTCCAAATTCGCTTTGAAAGAGACCTCTCAAGATTGTATCTCCATTCCCATTTCCAGTTGTGGGCCGCTGAAATGCTCGATTTCTGCGGCTGCCAGCGGTCAATATTCAAGCGCTCCGTGGAGCCGCCGCCTCCTGAACTGAATTGGCTGACCTGGAAGTGGGTTGGAGGCGAGGTGTTTGTCGCCTCACCCAGAGTTAGCCGACTCATCTACAAGAAGGAACTTAAAGCGGCCGCGGCCTCTTCAGAGGGTAAAAATGAGGACAGTAGCAGCAGCAAGCCTCGTCCAAAACTGCCTGAAAGCAGTTCCAGCGCGCGCATTTGTTTGCTGCATCGTGCGTCTAACATTGCGGACGTCGCGCCTTCCGGCAGCGTCTACCAGGCCGCACTCACCTGCCATGCTGCATCTCTCAGCATGACCGAAGCTGAAGTGATGGACGAGATCCGCATGCGTCGACGACTCGCCACTCCACCCGAGTCTGCCCGACTGCAGTATGAAGCTCCAACCGGCATGTACTACGACCCTGAAACGGAACTGCACTACGACGCAAAGACCGGCTACTTCTACGATGCCGGCAGGTCGATGTACTACTATTGGTCAAAGGAGCAACACCGCTACGTACCGGCTAATGACTTGGTGCAGTCGCAATTCATCGCCGCACAGAACGCCCAGATAGCGGCAATGCAGGCGGCCGCCATGCGTTCCGTTGTGGAACAGGAGGCGGCTCGAGCTGCGGGCGCAAAGGTCGCTGCTCAGCTGGCTGCCATCCGGGCACAGAAGGATGAGTACGCTTCCTACGCCTACGCGACTTGTGTGCTGCCTCAGGAACCAGAGCTAGAGGTGAGTTCGCGCCTTAAAACCGCCAGCTCGTCCATCGAGCAGTCCCTGGGACTCGTTGGTCGGGACGGCCTATCTGCTTCCGTCACACCGCCGCCGCCTGGTACTTCCTTAGCCTCCCACTCAGACATATATCCTCCAGGTTGTCCTCCGCCGCCTGGAGTGTAAATTTCTCCTCCCCCCTCCTTGATCGGAAACTTATTTTGTGCATTCTGTATAGTTAATAAATCACCAAGCACGTCATTCTGCTTACCACCACCACCACCACCACCACCACCACCACCACCACCACCACCACCACCACCACCACCACCACCACCACCACTTATCTCTGGTACGCCAAGGGGCAGGATTATTCACTACCGCACAACGTCCTACAAGTACAGCGGCTCGTCCGTCGCAAGCGATGACTACAATCGCTGTTTCGGAAAAAGCAGTCGAGGCTTGTGCCTCTGTTAGGCTCTAATGAGGAAGACTTGCATAGCTCCTCACTCGCCCCCACTCTCAACACGAGTCATATTTCAATGGTGAGGCCACGTTAAGACTACTGGAAGTTGGCGTGCCAAACACGGGATAGTCCTACGGCCAATTCCATTCTGACCTAACTCTCAGTCTGTTGATAGTTTTCGAAGCCACGACTTCTTGTAAATTTTAGGGGGAGTACGTGTAGGGCCCAGTCTTCTTCACTCCGTCTTGACACCGGCTCCTGATGGGATAGGAGGGGCGAGTGCGGTAGATGCAGCGCAAGTCTACCGTCATTCTAAACTCACTCACGCGAAAGTCGCCGTCCCCGCCCTCGGTCTGCTGTAGAGCACACGGTCGAAATCGACGGTCGAACTTTCATTGGCAGTCTCTCTTTCATTAGTCCCCCATATTTGTGAAAAGTACGGACCAGGCCAGCCGGATATGAGATTTGGCGGATATATGAGGCCTCCATCTAGTCCGTTCCACACTTAATCGGCTCCGCGTTTATCTTACCCAACAGCGCTATCCGTTTCAGCAGTCTAGGATACCCGACGCGTCGCGCGATAGTTGTGCGCTCGGTTGGCCATCTGACAAGGTAGGCCCCACCGATCGGGTCTTACGTCCCCGGCGCCCGTAGAGCCTGCCTCATGTCGACCCGTTGCTTTCTTGGTTGGTAAGGAGTTAGGTGAACCAGATGTCAGCACATTATTTCTTGCCTGAAAATGCAACGAATTTGACCGTCTGGCAGGGAAACCTATATAACTTGTAGTTCGGAAGTTAGCCGTTTATGGAAAACAAGACGTACCCTTGATGTCTCTGGCACCACGAAGCTGAGCTTTTTGGGGGTATTCCCTTCAGGGGGAAGGGGTGCGTCCGAGTCACACCCGTGGAGTGAATTTAAGCTTTACGAATAATCTGTACTGCTATCGCACCTCACTAAAAGGGGATTACATTGGCAGCCAGGGGGCGCTGATCGGGTTGCACTGTCGCGCGTTAGGTGCAGGCTTACACCACGTCGGCTGCTGATGTCAACTTCATTTCCAGACGACCCGACTCGACAGGCCGCTCACACTTGGAGGGGGGAGAGGCAGTGAGGTCGATCCAGATTGGATCCAGAGTTTATTTTGTCCAGCTGAGACGAACTGACGTGCTTTAGAGTTTTCTACGACCCGCTGAAGGTCAGGGTCTGGCGGGCTTCCGTCTGATGGAGAAGCCCGTTCGCATTCAGGACTGGGGCTCGGCCTGCAATACCATGATCTTTGCACCATTCTAACTCATATCACCAGTAGTTGTGATATTGTTCTTCTACTGGGGATACGGTGGACATAAAAAATAATGAGTGACACGGATGCGGCGCAAGTCTGCCTCACTGTGGGAAACTTCACTTGCAAGTGACCGCTGCGTTCTCTTCGAGATAGCGGTTGGCCTCTGTCTCTCAACAAGTGCCTCCTCCCGAGGCTGGGGCTGCTGGTTGAAGTGCTTCAGCGTAATTTTCTCTGTGTTCAGCGCAGGGGTAACTAAGGTTAAAGCAGCTGGCATTCGGAATTTCCTCCTAACAGTGTGCAGGACTGTTTCGGTAGGCATGAGATTTCCCGCAGACTGAATCTGCTACGCAGGTCGGCTGTGCTTCAATGAGACGAGCCCGGATGGGTAGCTAAAACTGTCTTGATCAGGCGCCCGCGTCTCACAAGCTATACCGCCCAGATGATTTTGAACACCACGAACCCTGTGCGCTGATTGGCTCTCCCCCAACCAATCCTAGCTACTGCACATACACTTGGGAGTTTACCCAAGAGCCACTAGATCCCATTCTAGCCGAGCGTTGGTGCTGAATGTCGATTCCCCGACTTGCGATTTCAGCAACGCAATGCTATCTGGCCTTACTATTTCTCACTACTATTTTCTTCGATATTTTCGGACGAGTTGCTTTAGCTGTAGCTTACTGGAAATACGACTTCTCATTATGAGTTCCCATCTCTTTTTCATTGGGTTTAGGCACAGTTGCACCTTTATTTCGTCACCAGCGGCTAGTACTGCCCGACTTTTTCGCAAGTTCGCCAGTGATGCCCGGTATCAGATCAAATGCTAACTATAGCTGAGGGCTGAACAACACGCCGATTAGCCACGTGCATGATTCTCACAGTGGGGGATCAGGCGCTACCACGGAGGCGGGTTCCAGGCGACGACGATTATAACGTCGCATCACAGAACACGTGCCCTTTGGCTAAAAGCGTTGTCTAGCCCTTCTGCGCCGAGAAAACCGACAAAAGCAACGCGGAATGAAACAGGAGACGATGTGATAGTTCGACCATCGAATCCGACAATGTCCACCGCACCTGCTACACAGCAAGGTGTAGCAGGTGCGGTGATTTACACATAACTTGGTTTATAGTAACTTGAGCAGCATCTACCGCACTCTCTCTTCCCCACTTCCCACCCGAACCCGATGTCAAGAAGACCGGAGACAGGAGACAGCGCAGGTAGCTGGTGCGGTTGAGCCCGCACCTTGACGTTCCGCACCACAGTCCCTTGTCCACACAGCAAATGGCCAGGTTTTTGCCAACAACAACACCCTAACAGGGGTCAGAAGGAAGAGGTTAACTGGGCAGCCATGCCCACCACCTGTACGCCCAGTGGAAGCGCAAGCGCATCTATCGTCAGGGAACCAGGTGCTAGCGCATTCCAGGCTGCGAGGACCATGGTTTGCTGATACTGACATATCACACGCTTTCGGACCTTTTGACCTAGAAGGGCGACACGTGGCCCTGCATCTAGCCTGGGCCGTAACCCTTCAAGGTTGTGTAGCCAAACAGTCGTCGACTGGGAGGCACTACCCATAAAGTACACACACTCTCCTCGCATATATGAGAGTATCACAGATGGCTTGAGAAGGGGCCGTGACAGCCTGTCTCTCGGCCCATCAGTTCTCCACTCCACACAACACAGATAACTGTGTGGACTGAGTTGGGGCATCAGTCGGCTGCCTTCCGAACCACAGCGCTCAACGCAACGTCTACGTCTACCTCCATTCAGCAGGGGGGCTGCATGGAGAAGGAGCCGAGACGCCCACTTTCCACTTGCGTGGGAGGTGGCAGTTGGGTGCTTACGATGGGTGATTCTGATATGTGTTGAGATGCTGGTAAAAGGGAATTTGATGATGTGGTACAACCGGCGGTTGGCTACCGCAGGTTTTCATGGCCGAACAGGCCCATGCGATGCATGAATGTGTGTGGACAGCTTGGACAGTGGCGGCGGGTGTAGGTCGCTGCTCCGTGCGATGGATTCGCAAGTGACCGACCAGGCCGTTGCTTGAGGTGAAAGTGTGATTGAAATGTGAACAGGTTTAGACCCGGTCCTCATCACTGATGTTGGCGGTGGCGGTGTTGGTGTTTGTTGGTGTGTCAGGATTGTGTGTAGTGTTGATGGGCATTACAGAGGCCACAGCGGCGGCGGCGCGGGAGGAGGAGGATTGTAGTGGTGGTCCGGGGGGGGGGGGCGGTCAGCCGTGGCAGGCGAGGGAGCTGCGGACGGAGAGACGACGTTTGGTGCAGCCTGAGTGCTGCAATTGGTCCGAAGGTGTCCAACCAGTCCGATTGGCGCCCGGAATGTTCGTTGACATCGTGGGCATGTTGGAAGTGGTCGGGCGGACTGATTTGGGGACGTAAGACGGCTGCCTTCCGTACCACGGCGCTCGATGCACCGTCTTCGTCTCAGATTCCGATCACACACGAAGCAAATGAGCCGCATGATGAAGGTGCCCAGACGCACACTTCCAACTTGCGTTGAAGGTGGCAGCTAGGTGCTTGCGGTGGATGATGTCGATGTGTGATGGGATACTGGTAGGGGAAGAGACGAAGTAGAACCAGAGAAAATGGGATCCTCCGAGGACCTGTCGCTGAGAGCCTTGATGAGAGGTCGTCGAGTGCAAAGCGGTGCAACGCGTTGAACCAGATTTTTGGGGAGGGAATTGTGCGGTATAATAGGACAGTTCGACTGTAGCAGGCGACAACGTCGACTCTGCGTGCCTTGCAGAGTGGACGCAGCACCGATGACTAGCGGGTGAGGTAGTTTATGGTGACGGCAAACTTGCACAGCGTCCTCCTCACTCGCCTCAACACCTTGCTGCGATGGCAGGAAGATGTCAAGTGGGCACTAGCGAGGTGGCTGGCACCGCTAGACAGTTCGAGTGCACTTCCCACGACTCCTAGCATGTCGTGATGGATGCAAGCGCGTGATATTATTTCTTAGCAAGGAATGCACCGATTTGTCGTGCGAATGGGCACCTCCATGTCTTGTTCCTTATGACCTCATTTCAGAATGAACGATGCATAGCTCGGTTTACAAACCTAGTTACATAGGGTACTTGCAGGAAATGAGCCGTTTGCTGGGTTTGAGCTCCTTCGTCCACGCAGTGGTGTACATGATGGCATGCCTCAAAACCAGTCCCCAAGGGACTCTATTATAAAGATGGGGTTTCCGTAGACTGCGATTGTCCAGCCGAAGCTGATGTATTTCAGTTCAGACATCCACATCGACCTTTGAACCGAGTTTGGAAAGGTTTGTCCCGAAAGATTCGCTCCAAGTTCGCGCACTTATGCCTGAGAATTTAAAAAAATTGAACAAAGCCTTGAATGTAAGCTCAACGGGTTGAAAACCTTCGTCTATAAAAATCGTCTAGATACCGTTGCCCTGACTGGAACAGGGTTCATTGAGGGATTATATGACTCAAAACTACCAAAAGACCGCTACCAACTAATAAAACCTGATTTGAAGACAGTGGAAGAAAAGACCTCTTTCTTGACAATGGCATAATTACCATTTCGGTGGATATGGTCGGTGCGAGATTAATAATCCACTACCTCTTCTGGAGAGATAAATCCCTTCGAGGTCTCCAGACTACGTATGGAGTTGGAGACAGTCTGCTACCCCTGACAGCCAACCGTCTAACCATCAGATGGCTGACCGACTCGGACGCGCTTTTAAACTATTGCGGTGTGGTGATTTGGAAGACAGCCAACCAATAGGATGACTCGGTCCTCCTCACAGGAGGCTGCGGTGACTCCCTAATATGGCCGGTATGCTACTCCAACTCTGTTGGGATCCGAGCCGTTTCTATCTTGTGTGTGCGGAAACCTGGTTTATCGTTCAGGAACCGGACGTTTGTGGCACGCGCAGACGGGTCGTTCAGTCTCGTCTGCCACTGTGCCCGATCCCGCCTCCACTCTTCTTTACTCTATCTTGGGACAGGATGCAAGTGAATGATGGAGGAGAAAGTGCAGTAGATACAGCGCAAGTCTGTCTTACTAATGGGCCTGCATTTTACCGTTCCTGCGCTCATCGTTTTTAGTGGTTTGCGAATATTACGCGGCGACTCCCCTGAAGCTGATTGATTTTTTACGCAAACACCCGTATCAGCTGTCAGGGCGAGTAGGTAAATATTGGAGCGGAAGGATTTACATCAAGTCCGCGCATTTATTTCTTAGGAATTTTAAAATCCCCATTTGACCCATTTGTGAGAATCCCGGCGAGATTCCTACCCATGGCAAGGCTCGAGTACAGCCAACGCTCTAACCATCTGAGCTACGAGGTCCGACCAGGAGGCGTGAGTTTAATCACATTTGGGTCAAGTTACCCGCCTAGCCTACTGAAACGCATAGAATAGTAGGGGGCGCTCACCGACCGTTTTTACGGAACTCACTCGTTCCACTGTGCCTTACGGGCTCTCTCTCAAGCCCAACCAACAGCCTCATCGTGGCGCATGACATAGGCAGTATGTTATTACCGACAAAGACAAGGGGGACTGGAGTGGCCATTTCTGGCTTATTAGCCGTCGTCAGCCAGTCATACCCAACCCCGGAGTGTGGAACACCCGAGCGTCGAACTCGTCGCGACCTGTTAGTTAGATGTCCACGTCCCGGCCATTGTAAATTCCCGATCGAAACCGACAGGGCAACGGGCTCGTGGCCCAGTGGTTAGAGGCGTGGGCTTCTAACTAACAGGTCGCGAGTTCGAGCCTCCGTTGTCTTTGTCCACCAGTTCTGATATAATAAATTGGCTGCTCAAACAGAATTACTTAAGAAGTCAGTCTAAAATCCCCCAGATGACCACAGGGTTCACCGAGGCCGCTGACTTTCACAAATGGGTCAGATGAATTATGCAACTTCGTCAAAAAGTCTGATAGTTTGATAAGTGTCGCGCCCAGTTTGATAAGTCGTAATCTGTTGAGGTTGACTAGCAATACCTTCTTCTTTATATTAGTTAACTTTCATGGAA